CTTGTTTTCAAAACAGGAGTCATTGGGTCCCCTTTGTGGAGGTTGGGGAAACTGAGGCAACATGCCACAGCACAGTGAGGGTAGCTGGTGCAGCAAGGCCGGGAAGGGGGGGCTGGGCAGTCTGGGGGGCTGTCCCCCACCTCTTTGAAGCAGGAGAGGGCTGGAGGTGGCTCATGGTTCAGCCCCTGCATCGGCCTATCTCCCTGGCCTCCCCAGGGCCCAGGGGCAGATGGGAGTCCTTGGCCAGGGCAGCCCATCTGTCTGTTCTGGTCTGGTGGCCCCAGAGACACCTCCGGCTGGGGATTAAGCCAGAAGAGGGACAGATTCTGCTGTCAAAGCACAAAAGGCCCCACATCAAGTAAGGTGAAAGAGCTGACGAGGCCGGGCTGTCATCGCCGAGTGTCCTGGAGTTAAGAATGATACTGTCCTGGTGCAGCCCTGGGAACTGCAGTCACCCCCTCCCATTGATCTTGTCCACCTCTGGTGTCACAGTGGCTTCTGCCACACAGGGTGGGAGGCCAGCTGAGAGTGGGGGTCACTGCTGCCCTGGCTTTCTAGGGGCCCCTAGGTGGTACCTGGGTCTGGGCTCCAAGGCTGGTGCTGGAAGGACTAGAGTCTGGCCCTTGCCTCTGGGGGCTCTGCTTTCCCATGTGGAGAGCAGGGCAGGTGGGTGGTCAGAGAGGTTCCTGCAGAGCAGGGGTCGGTGGGCACAGGGGCCTGGGAGAGAATGAGGACACCTTAGAGCCCTCAGATGGGCCTTTTCCTTCTGTTTACAACCTGGGCCTACAGTGTCTGGGAGCCTAGGGCACCGGGGGCTGTGGGGTTACAGCAGCACTGAGCATTGATCCCTCCATGGATGGGGGCTTATGAGTGGGGAGCGAGGGATTGGGCTGGAGAGTTAAAAGGCCAGATTTTCTGGGGCTCCAGTCCTGAGACCCTTCTGCCTCCCAAGAAGGCTCAACCTTCTCCCTCCTTGAACCCATCCCACCCACATCCTGTGACTGCCCCAACTCCCTGGGGCCCACCCACCCTCCAAACTGGGGCCCAACCCTTGGCTTCCTTTCCATGCCCTGTCATCCTTGCTGTCACAGAGGCCTAATTGTTTTGCAAATCAACTTACAATCGAAATCTCCAAAGGAAGAAGGAGAGGGTTTGACCATGAGGAACTCAGCTTCCAAAGCCCAGGGTTTAAAATCCTACCAAAGAATAGCAGGTGTTGGTGAGGCTGCAGAGAAACAGGAACCCTCACGCACTGCTCGTGGGAATGTAAAACGTGCAGCCTCTGTGGAAAACACTGTGGCAGTTCCTCAAAAAGTTAAACATGGACCTACCTTATGACCCAGCAATTCCACTCCTGGGCATTTATCCCAAAGGACTTGACAGCAGGGACTCGAACAGATACTTGTACACCCATGTTCATTGCAGCATTATTCACAATAGCCAAAAGGTGGAAACAACCCAGGTGGCTATCAACAGATGAATGGATAAACAAAACGTGGTATCTGCAGACAATGGAATATTATTCAGTCATAAAGAGAAATGAAGCCCTGATACATGCTACGGCATGGATAAACCTTGAAAACATGCTGAGTGAAATAAGCCAGACAGAAAAGGACAAAAATTATATGAAGCCACTTATGTGAAATATCTACAATAAGGAAACTCACAGAGATAGAAAGTAGATTAGAGGTTGCCAGAGGCTGGGTGAAGAGGGAATGGGGAGTCACTTCTTAACAGGTACAGAGTTTTTGTTTGAGGTGATGAAAAAAGTTGGAAATAGATAGTGATAGTCACACAGGTCCCTGGGTGTTGCAAATGGTTTATGCTCAGCTGCTAACCAAAGGGTTGGTGATTCAAGCCCACCCAGTGGCACTGAGGAAGAAAGGCCTGGCAATCTACTTCTGTAAGATTACAGCCATTGAAAATCCTGTGGAGCATAGTTCTAATCTGAAACACATGGGGTTGCTACACTCAACAGCAACAGGTTTGATTTGTTGGGTTTTTTTTTTTTTAATGTTTGCACAACATTGTGAATGTAATTAATGTCACTGAATTGTACACTTAAAATGGCAAATTCTGTTATATATATTTTGTTGTTGTTGTTGTTGTTAGAGGCCGTTGAGTCAATTCCGACTCATAACAACCCTGTGTACAACAGAATGAAACACTGCCCGGTCCTGCGCTGTCTTAGTCTGGGTTCTCTAGAGAAGCAAAACCAGTGAAGTATATAT